TTTGCTAAGCGACAAGCAGGCCAAGTTCCCACTGTACCCAGGGCTCGGGTCCTGCTGCCAGGAGTTGGGGGCACAGGGTGCCACCATGAATTTGGCCCCAGAGGCGAGGGACCCCTCAGGAGCCATACCCCACCGACCACTTTCGCGTCCTTGCACACATGATGAGCGCGACCGTCCCCCCAACGCTCGCACTGCACCACAGCAGGGATCCTGGGATTCTGTGGCTCTCGGGGGTGCATCTTCCCCGTGAGACTGGGGTGTGGACCCCGGCGAGACTCTAACCGGCGCCAGCACAAGCCCAGGGGAGGCCAAACCCATACAGAGACGCTCCAACGGGGACAGACGGCTGTGAGAACACGGAGGCCGGACAGGGACAGATCCTGCCCTCGTCAGCAACCGCCTTTTAGCGACACAGGAAGCCCCGAGTGGGAGCAAGTTAGCAGAAAAGCTGCAAAAGCAACTTTGCAAAGGCAAGCTGCCCTTCCGGGGGGCTGCTGTATCCCTGACTCACAGGCGGGGCCCGCGCCCCCCGCCCCCCGCCCCCTGGAGAAAAGCCCACCTTCCCTCCTGAACATGCACCCTCACTTCCCCTCTGCTCTCTCGCTGCCGTTCGGCTCCTGCGATTCTTCTCTGGGGGACAGTGACACAGCCAGGAGACACGTGGGAAGGTGCCACTGCTGCTTGGCTGACGTGGGCACGCGCCCCCGCCGCGTCCGCCCTGCCCAGCCTGCCACCGAGTACCCGCAAGTCCTGCTCCCCGGAGGACCCTCCTGACAGGCACCCAAGCTCCTCCGATGCTTGCGGGGGACGGAGACGCGGGGTTCGTGGAGCAGAGCCCGTCTCCTCTCTGCACCCCCTCTTCCCAAATGCCAGCAGAAAGGAAGTGGACCCGCAGGCGTCGGTGAACCCCGTTCTGAATTTCGCATCTAGGGTCTCACAGGTAGAATTCAACGGCCACTGTCGAGAGTCGATCATGGCCCCCGAAGGATGCACTTTCTGGCCACAGAGCTCAGGGAGATAAAACTGCATGGGACGAAATTCCTCGTATTCTTTTAATGAAAGTGTCGGCTTGACTTATCTTTGTGTCAAGTTGCAATGTTGCATCTGAAAACGAAAAGAAGCCAGACAGGCATCCCGACTAATTGTCCTTTCCTGCGATGAGCGACTCCTCGCTCCAGGCCGGTTCTGTGGTTTCCCAAGAAACTAGGCGACAGGACCAATTCCCATGCCGTGGACATCCCGGGACGGTCTGACAAGTGCCCAGAGGAGCTAGTGGGACACAAGCGTCTCACCGAGCACAGGCAGGTGCTCGTGGCAGACTCTTGGCTGTGATCCACCCAGTGGGTCTCACTCTCCGGTGACCGAGGGAGGAAAGGGGCGTGGGAGACGCCCCTCTCCGGCCTTTACCGCTCCTCCCCCCACTTCACATCAGTCACCTGCAACATGCAGGGCCAGAATCAAACTCAGACCCCTCACCCATGCCAGGGCACTATTCCTGGCCCCCCATTTACGCTCTTGCCTGGTCCCTGTCACTTTTAGGGGAGCTACCAGCGTACGTTGTCTTGACAATCAGGTGCCAATGCCCACGGAGACAGAACAAAGGCCTCTGGACCAGAGCACTCACGGGAAAAGCACCCCAGTGTGACAAAGGGGTTCCGTGACGTGTGCTGAGGGGGATGGAAGGTGAGAAGGGTGCGGCCGCGGCGGAAGAGGTGGCGGGTCCAGACCCAGAAAGGCCTCCTCGGCCTCCTTCAGCCCCAGCCACGCGGAGCAAGGGCCTCAGCCTCGGCACCTCCCTCCGGCCGCTCCTGCGCCGCGGTCCTGAGCAAGGCCACCACGCTCGCCTCCAAAGCAGCCTCCCTGCAGCGGGAGCCGGGAGAGGACCAGGAGGCAGAGCCTGCTGATGGAGCCGGGTCAGCAGTCCAGCAGGAAAGGCCCGCAGGCACGGGACGAGGGACGGGACCCCAGGGCCAGGCAGAACCGCCCAGGGGTCGGGGAAGGGGGGAGAACTGGCAGGCTCTCAGCTCTGGCTGGGCCAGTCTGTCCGAACTCCTCCAGCAGCCCCGGGGCACGCTCCGAAGACCCCCGAGCAGCAGAGTGGCAGAGGCTGCCGGAGGTGCGTCCCACCGCAGGCGCAGGGCCCGACTCCAGCACACGCCTCTCCCGGCCTCACAGACCTGGGGAAGACGGGCCCGCTGGAGCCGGGTTCCAGGGAGTGGCGCGAAGGAGGAAAGCTTGTGAGGTGGGCCTGCGTCTGTCACTCCGAGGGCTTGGACCGCAGCAAGGGGTGAAGGTCAAAGCGGCCAGAAGAAGCCCCTTCCCAAATCGAGCACAGCAGGGCAGGCCAGAGAGGAGAGCGAGGGGGCCTCCCCCTGCTGCCACCACGCTGGTCACCCCTCCCTCCACTATGCTCCTGGTCCTCCAAACACCCGCGCCTCCCACAGCTCCCAAACACACAACCCCTGGCCCCGACCTGCCTCACAGTCCCACTGTCGCCCCCGAGGGAAGCGAGCACCATCATCAACACCAACCAGTCAACTTCCGGTCGTCAGACCCTTTTTTACTGTTGTGTGTTTTGGGCTTGGAGGCCACAACCAGTGGTGGCAAGGGTCACTCCCGGCAGGGCTCAGGGGACCGTACGCGGTGCCGGGGACCAACTAACAGATCTGCCGCGTGCAAAGCGAGCGCTTTCCCACTGCGCGCTCTCTCCTACCCGTTCCGAAGGTTTGTTTTCATTTGGGGACCACCTCCGGCACTGCTCAGAGAACACTCCTGGCGGTGCTCAGGGGACCATACGGGGCACAGGGAACGGAATCCAGGCTGGCCGCATGCAAAGCAAGGATGCTACCAATGGTATATCTCAGACTCAGCCCCTTCAAATCCTTCATCCAACTTTTGACTGAAGTTTGACTTCCGGCCAGCACGTCCACGTCTTTCCCGCCATCACTGGTCCCCTTTGATCAGCCTGTTCGACGCTCTTGGCCCTCCCCACGACTCTTGTAGCACAGAAAATAGTGGGGAAAAAGAAAACCCTCAAGGGTTGGAATGATAGCAGAGCGGGTAGGGCGTTTGCCTTGCACGCGGCTGGACCCGGGTTCGATTCCCAGCATCCCATAGGGTCTCCCTAGCACCGCCAGGAGTGATTCCTGAGTGCAGAGTCAGGAGGAACCTGTGCACCGCTGGGTGTGACCAAAAAAAAAAATCCCATAAAACCCTCAAACTATTATGCATAAGGTCAGAAGGGCAGGAACCAAGTTTACTTGCAACAGGGAGTGACAACTTTTTCCTGAAAAGGGTCAATTAGGAAACGTCTGGCGGTGAGGACTACTGGGTATCAGCTGAGAGCACAGCTCCCAAACAGCTGGAAATAAAATGTGAATGGGCATGACTGTGCCTCAATAAAGTTTTATTCACAAAAACAGAAAGTGGGACAAAGGGCCAGTGTGTGGACCTCTGGTCTCAATCCTCAGCACCGTTTCCCATCTGGCGTGTGACAAGCTGTTCAATGGAAGACCAAGACCGAGAGGAGAATGTCGCTGGCCTTGGCCTTTAGAGGGGAACTAGAATGCAGAGGAGGGGATGCACACGGAACAGTGCGGTACACAGCAGCTGAGGAAACAGTTACTCGTCCTTCAAGAATTCTGGTCTGAGCAGCCACGTGAGGGAACCAGGTCTTAGTGGAGCTGGCGGGGCAGGTCGGTGTGCGACCAGGCAGATGCAGGGCCGAGGGAGAGAGGGGTCTCTACGAGTGAGGTGCTGGGGCACACGGACTGTGACGAAGAAGGGCACCGACCGAGGCGGGAGGAGGAGAGGGGAGGCCATCGGCTGTGGGGAGCCGCACCCTCTTTCCCGGCGCACTGTGAGAGGAGCCGCAGGCGTGGCTCGGGGCAAGGCCGTGGCCCGGCCAGGACGGTCAGACCTTGCCCCCTTCTCCTGCCCCGTGAGAAAGCACGTCGGAGCCAGACTCTCAGCCCCGACTAGCTCTGAAGTGTGTCTGGCACTGAGTCATCTACACCCTGGCCCTCACTTCCTGTCCCTTCACTTTCCTGTGCAGGTAGTGACAGGCAGACCTGGGGGGGGGATGAGCTCACACTTTAAACATCTGGCCACACCCGGTTCTTTCTGGAAGGATACTGGAGGCATCGGAGCTCCAGAGCCCGCGTGGGTTTGCTCTCGGGCGGGCCGGCCTTCAAGGTGCAGGCACGTGGAAGGGCTGCAAATGTTTCTCCTTTAAAAATGCTTCAACTAGGGAAGCACAACGTTTGTCTTCAAACGGGAAATAACGACTTGACTGCGCGCGGTGCGACAAAAGTAGCAGAGAAGCTCTGTGGTTTCTCGCCCCGGCCCGAGACTGACCCGTAGAAGGAAACTCCTCGCCCAGAAAGCATCAGATGCGCCTACTGAACTAACCCCAAGAAGTTTTCTCCTGCGAATCCCAGAGCCAGTCCATTTCCTCAGACACCCGGAGAAAGCGCGCCTTCAACCCATTCTTGCTGCCAGGGCAGGAACGTGCCAGGGTTTGGGTCTCCCCGACCTTTTCGGGAAGAGCCCAAACCCATCGACTCTCTGAGCAGCACTTCCTTCCTGTGCCTTCCTTCAAACGTCATCATCACTGCTGACTTCGAGGGACGGCGGTGACGACGTACAATTACATAAAAAGTAATGCTTCAATTAAATCTTTCTTCCCCCAAGTCTTCACTCTCCACAACTCAAAGGATGATTTTCCTAAGACCTATCAAGCCTGGCCCAGAGACGGAGCTCAGCGACAGAGTGCTCATGCTTTGTGCTTGTGAGGCCTTGGGTTTGATCCCTGGCGCCCGAGAGCCCGAGAGGAAGGAAGCTATCGATCCTCCTGAGTTCTTCAATCCTTTCCGGAGAGGGCGGAGGCCAGTGTCTCGGGCCCAGTAACGGCGGGCAACGGCACACCACCTTCTCCCAAAAGTCCACCTGCCGGGACTGGCCAACCTGCAGGGGTCGATTTAAATAAACGCGTCTCTTACCCTATCGTTGGGTTGATGTTGGGATCAAAACTGTCTTCCACGAAACGCCAGACGATGCTGGACTTACCTACCCCCGTGTCCTGCAAGAGAAAAGAGCAAGAAAAAAAGTTTTAGGCGACACACACGCCAAGGCCCGGACCGCGGGGCTCAAGTTCGGGGCTCACGGCAGATGCGCGCCCTGAGTGGGGCCATTTCAGAAGCTAAAGCGAGGAGGGTGATCCGAACCAAAATCGGGAGTGGGGGTGGGGTCTGGGGGGTCAAATCTGGAGAGGTCAGAGTGAGTTGGGGGTCGGGGTGGGCAAATGTGGAGATGTCAGAGTGAGTTGGGGGGAGGCAAAGCTGGAGATGTCAGAGTTGGGGGCAAGGGGGGAGCAAATCTGGAGATGCCCGAGTAGTTGGGGGGCAAATCTGGTAGATGTCCTAGTTGGGGGCAAAGCTGGAGATGTCAGAGTTGGGGGCAAGGGGAGGGGGCAAAGCTGGAGATGCCCGAGTAGTTGGGGGCAAAGCTGGAGATGTCGGAGTTGGGGGTCCAATCTAGAGCTGCCCGAGTGCTGGGGGGCAGCTCCAAGTCCTCCCGCGCCCACGGGCCGAGCGCGGTGGTCGCGGGCGGGACGGGGCGGCCCCGGGCCTCGGCCCGGCGGGCGCACGTGGGTCGCGGCCCAGCGTCCGTCGGGCCGGAAGTTGCGGTCGCTGCGGTCCCCGCGCCCCCGCCCCCCGGGAAGTTTCTCGGGCCGGAGTCGCGGCGGGGCGGGGTCCCGCCCCCCGCCCCCGGGCGCCGCCACTCACCCCCAGCAGACACACTTTCAGCTCCCGCAGCGCCATGGCCCGAGCGCGGGTCGCGGGCCGCCGCCGCCGCCGCCGCCCTACGCGCAGGGAGAGGCCGGGCCCAGCACGCGCATCCCGCGGCGCCGCCGCCGCCCGGCCCCGCCGCCGCGAGCCCAGACGCGGCGACCCCCGCCCGCCCGCCCGCCCGCCCGGCCTCCCTCGGCCCGGCCGCGCGTCGCCGGCCGCGCGGGACCCGCCTCAGCAGCCCCGAGCCGAGCGCGGCCTCCGGGGCGCCGTCGCCGCCGCCGCCATCTTGGGACGCCGGCCGGGTCACGTGGCCTCCCCGCCCACCTCCGCGGCCACCTTCGCCGAGGCTCGCGGCGCGGGGCGGGGTCGCCGAGACCCGGCCCCGCCCCCTCGGCCCGGGCCCCGCCCCCGCCGCGCGCGGGCCCCGCCCCCGGCCCCTTCCCGGGACGCGGCGCGCGGCGGCCGGCCGGGTTCTCCCCGGCTCCGGGCCCCGCCCCTCGACCGTGGCCCCGCCCCCTGCACGCGGGCCCCGCCCCCGGCCCCTTTCCCGGACGCGGCGCGAGGCGGCCGGTCGGGTTCTCCCCGGCTCCGGGCCCCGCCCCTCCGCCCGGGCCACGCCCCCCGCACGCGGGCCCCGCCCCCGGCCCCTTCCCGGGACGCGGCGCCAGGCGGCCGGCCGGGCCCTCGGACTCCGCCCCGGCTCCGCCCTGGAGCCCACCTGGGCCGCTCCCCCGCGCGTCTTGAGGACTCGCAAGGGGTCGTAGGTGATCGTGAGTAACAGTTGCGCACCCCACCCCAGAATCGGGGTGCATGGGACTTGGGGGTCGACACAGGCCAGGCCCCCCCAGCTGCAGGGATGCTGGAGGCTGCGGCCCCTCCTCTGGGGCGGGCGGCGGCGGCGGGGACCCTCCTCTCGGGTGGCTACGAAACTTGGTCCCTCTCGGCACTTTGTCCTTTGCGAGAGCAGAGCCCGGGATTCCCGGCGGGAGGTTTGCACGTGTCCCCAGGAGCTGCACCCCACACCCCTCCCGGCCTCAGCACTGCGCCCAGGGGGCGGGAGCCCAGCCCCACTTGCCCAGGGGTCTCGGGGCGCATGCATTGCCCAGGGGTCCCGCGGACTCCCCTCTTGCCCAGGGATCCTTGGCCGCCCCTCTTGGCCAGGGGTCCCAGGGCAGCCCGTAGGCCTAGGGGTCCGGGGCCCTGTGCCCTCTCCTTTGGGAATCCCTGTAGGGGCTCGTAGCTGGGGAGCTGGCACCCTGGCAAGGCACATTTCCTTTCGCGGTGAAAAATTTCCTATCCTGCCCAACTATTGCCCTGAACCACCTGTTTGGCGCCGGGTGCAGAGCCCTGGGACTGAAAGGATGCTCAGAAACTTCCCTTGCGAGGGACCGCCCACCATGCCCCTGGAACCTTCAGGGCTGAGCTGCTTGCTGGTGAGGTGGGCACACAGTGGACACAGCCACAGTCGCCTTCCCTGCACCAGCTACCACTCTCCTAAAAGTTGAGACTTAGGAGACTCACCGTGGGTCCTGCCAGCGTTAAACCAGGGACCCAGGCTTGCCTGTTTAGTCGGAGGAAACTACTCGCGTGCAATGACCACCAGAAGGGCCCTAGCAGCAGATGGCTGGGAGCAGGGGGTGGGGCGCTGTGGGCTGAGGGTCTGTGCCACCCTTGACCTGCTCTGTGACTCTGGCCAAGCCACAGAACCAGCAGGAGGCTCAGTGGCCTCATCCCGACTCGGCCCTTACAAAATGGGCCTAACGTGGTCCTCGTCAGAAGGCTCTTGGTTCCCCCCAGAAGCCTTTTGTGAAGGTTAATCGAAAATAAAAGGTTTGGTGCCAGACCTCCACGTATGTTATCTGCTGGGTGAAATCGAGCCACCGCTACTGTCACTGCGATCAGCCCTTATGGCTGCATCGAGGACCCACTACAGAGCCCAGAGTCCTGATTTTCAGCCATGGGCACCGAGGAGCAGGCTGGCCTAGCTGGAGTGACCAGTAGTTGGACTTCTTTCTGCTCTATGTATTCCTTCGGTCGTTTTGTCTATACCTTAGACAGGGAAGAGGAAACAGCAGAGAAAGGAGTGACAGTACTTCGGACCTATTTGGACAGATTCTGGATTTTGCAGACTTGTGATACGGAAGCCCCTGAAGGCCATTTAGATGGCGGACAAGTCTCTGCCCTTGTACAGTTCTGGTGGGGGCAGGGAAGGGCTGACTCTGGAAACCTCTTGGGGCTTCTTGTTTGGGCACGGGTGGGGGCTGTGGGGTACAGTGTCACCCCACTTTCCGATAGTGTTGACGGGAGTGGCACGTTAGGGCAGTGGCATCTGGAAGGCGAGTCCCGATCAGCTCGGAGGCCCTATGCCAACTTCCCGCCTTTAGGTGAGTCAACTTCCGTCTCTAAGGGTTTCTTCGTCTGCAGTTGACGTGTAGAAGTGGCCGGAGAATTCAATGAGATAATGCACACGAAACACATCAGCCCAGTGCCTGGCCTAGCGCGGACCACGTCCAGCAACTTGGTGACTGTTATTTTCACCAGCCGCCTAACTATTGCTGGGCTTGCTTATGCGTTCCTGGTTTTGTTATTGTTTCGGGGGCCACACCTGGTCGTGCTCAGGGCGTACTCCTGGCTCTGAGCAGGGCTCGGGGGACCATATGGTGTGCGGTGTCCCGGGTCGGCTGTGTTCCAGGCAGATGCCCGCTGTACTATTGCCCCAGCGCCCTGTCTCTTTATCTCTGGGCCACACCTGGAAGTAAAAGCCACACCTCGGGGCTTACTTCCTGCTCGGCACTTAGAAATCGCTCTGCTGGGGCTCGAGGGGCCATATGGGGTGCTGGAGATAAAATCCAGGTCAGCCGCGTGCAAGGCCAGCGCCCTGCCTACTGTCCTCTCTCTGGCCCTCTTTCATGCTCCGAATCGCCGTGGACAGCTGCTACTGGGAGGCCAGCTTCTCGTCTTCTTTACAGATGACAAACCTGAGAGCCTAGTGACTTAGCCATGCGGGTGAAGTCATCAAGGATAGAATCTAGAATCATCTAGATTCCTCTGACTCTTGTGCTTTTCCACCACTCGGTTCAGCCTCACACACACCCTTACCCTCGTGGGGGGGCCATGGGTGTCGGTGGCCCTGGCTGTGGCTCCCCTTCGGCCTCTGTGTCCCTGATGTCACAACCGCCCCCCCCTCCAGCTGTCACTCACTCTGGGCAGGGTCAGAGGTCACCTCATCACCCAGCGTTCTGCAGGACGGAGGCGGTGGGCGAAGGTGGTCACTGGCGATGGGCACGGGATCAGAGACGCCTGTGATTTACTCTGCGACTCGATTAAGTTGCGCTCGCTTCCAGAAAAAGCTGTGAGGACCGGAGGCCTCCCGGGCCACGGCAGCATAGGAAGGTTTTAGAGGACCAGCTCCCCAAAGGATGGGAATTCCCTCTCGAAGGAGCAGAAGTGGGTGAGGGCTGTCCCACCTGGCCAGATGGCGGACTTCGTGTGGGAGGCGGCGCTCCGTTGCAGACATGAGGAGGCCTGTGAGGCCTGTGACCGAGAGACAGCGCGCGGCCAGATTGGACACGGAGGCACACGAGCCCACTAAAGCGGCATTACCGAGGCAGTTGGGAGAAATCGAACTTGGCCTGGACATTAGGTCATAATGAGAATGATCATAATTGGGTCAGAGGTAAGGATGCCATTTCCATTTTTCCTCAAGAGAGAGGGCCTTGTTCGACAGAAATGAGCATTTTCGGGTGAAATTATTTGACCGGTGAGGTTTGCTTTCAAAACCCACAGTAAGTGAACAAAATGTTGGGGAGGAGGTTTGATGGGAAAATGACAGAGTGTCGGTCCTTGGGGCTGGCAGCCGGGTCCCTGGGCTTAGGCTGCGCTGTTCCCTCTGTTTTGCATATGCTTAGAAATCTCCATGATAAAAAGTTTTTTTAAAAAATGAAATGTAAGTCTTGTCTCTGATCAAACGTCTGTACCAAGAATTGGAAAGTTGGATTTCTCTTTGGAAGGTGGCTGCAAAGTTATTGTAACATTCGTTTAGCTTCCCAGACTCCAATTTATAGAATCTATTAGGATCTGGGGAGCAGGATATTTCTTTTCAGATGTCTTAAAGAGGTGTCTGTGAAAGACGTTGAGAGAGCGCGCGCAGTTGGTGAAAAGAGCGCCTGCCGACGTTGATATTCGGCCTTTGTTGGGGCAGGATTAGCTACGTGAAGAGTCTAAATAGGCTCTTCACGTCGGAACTGAAACTCGGGAAGGAGCGGCCGTGAGTGAAAGCCGTCCTCCTGAGGGAAAATCCCTTCATTTCACCTGCTGGCTTTGTTCCAAGTTTGTAACCAAGTTGTGCTTCCGAAGCAGAATAACCATACGAATTTGAGCCCTAAATCGAACCATTGAGCTATTTCTCCGAACTGCCATAGAAACTTGAATCAAACATTGTCAATTTAAAAGGAAACCCAGACAGACCTCCCTCTCGAGTGTTTGGATAGGACAGGAACTAGTGGCCTTGACTGGTCCTCAGGAAATAGCACCAAACCCACATCCGACTCTCCTTTTTTTTTTTTTTTGACTTTTAGAAATTTATTTTCTAATACTTTAAAAATAGTAAGTTGACACTCTCTTAAGTTGTTTTTGGACCAACTGATATGAAATAATTTTGTTATATGCCTACCATAGGGGCAAAAAAAAAAGAAGCCTCATTTACGTCAGGGAAGATATGATAACTACTACAATAAGGTTAGAACGAAATGTAATGCAACACATCTTACCCGCCAGAGTTGAAAACCTAGTTATGTAGGTGAGAATAGGCAGTATACTATATTGTATTGGACTATTTGAATTTTATTTGCGTAGATTAAAAATCATATATCAATTAATTGATATATGACTTGTCCATCTATTTTATTTTTATAAAGTTGTTCACAATAACTTAGTACATTCCAACACCAATCCCACCACCATTATACCTTCCCACCACCATATTTCGAATTTTTTCCACCCCAACCCTGAAAGCCTGCCCCCAAAGCAGGACCTAAATAATTTATTTTG